TGCAAAACGGCAAAGCATAAAATAGGACTCATTTCTTTTCTTTTTGGGCGGGGAATGGAAACTGACGGATCCCACACAGTAATGAGTTAGCTTCGTAAGAAGGGGGTACGCGTCTAATAGCGACCTGCCCCGCGAAATCTCGCAGAAGGCAAATGTTGCCTATCGTACGGGCTGCCGACCACCAATATATGCCGAAAATTGGCGTTCAGGTCTGCATGTCTGTAGTTATGGGTTAGGATGAAGATGCCCGTAGCTCTCTCATTTTTTTTTTTTTTTTTGTTTTCTTACGAATACGTACAGTGGGGTCTGCTCCACCACTCACCACATGCACAAAAGAAATAGCATATTGCGGTGGATGGTTCCATGTTGTAGCAGAAGATTCATTCTAATGTTATACATTTGGTGAGTGGTGGAGAGAGGATGCAGATGCCCGTAGCTCTCTCGTTTTTTCTGTTTTTGTTTTGTTACAAATACGTACAGTGGGGCCTGCGCCACTACTCACCACATGCACAAAAGACATAGCATATGGCGGTGTATGGTTCCATGTTTCAGCAGAAGATTCATTCTACTAATACTATATACATAAATTTTTGTTTTGTTTTGTTTCAGCAAAATCACGTGGAGACACGAACAGGGTCTAGCTGAATTGGTGACCCATAACTGCCGAGTTACAGCCCTGAACTCGAATCCACAGCATATCACAGCATATATTGGTTGTCTGCCCAATTGTACCGTTTATGATTCATGACAAGGCCTTCCTTTTTATCTCGGGTAGTGGTCCTCATTGGCTCCCCATGGAGTGTAGGAGCCATTCGGGGTGGCTCCATCTATTGCTGGAGTCTCCCCAATGGTGCTAGCGGTGTCTCCACTCATCAGCACCCCTGGCAACCGAAAAAAAAAAAAAAGAGACATTCGGGGTACCTTCAGGGGCCCTCGAATTGACGTGAAGGGGCCCCTTTGTTGTCTCTCTTCTCTCTCTCTCTCTCTCTCTCTGTCTATCTTGGGCCTGTTTTTTTNCAGTGGCCCTGAGGGCCTCTACTCACCACATGCAGAAAATACAAAACATATGGCGGCTTATTATTCCACGTTCTAGCAGAAGAGGCACAGCTACTGGCAGGTCTCAGTCTTTGTGTTAGCCAGGCCCCCACTGGCGGCCCCAACCCTATACCCTAACCATTAGGGGCAAGGGGCAACATGAAATCTCCCCTTCACAGAGAGAGGAAAACTATGCTTGCAGGGGTCCCCTCAAGATAGTCTTAGGGGCAAGGGGCAACATGAAATCTCCCCTTCACAGAGAGAGGAAAACTACGCTTGCAGGGGTCCCCTCAGGAAAACTATGCTTGCAGGGGTCCCCTCAAGGTAGTGGAAGGTAAACAAACAGAAGTTGAGAGAAGAATACAGACAGACTGAGTTGTGATCACCCCAATGTAAAAAAAAAAAAAATCCGTTTTTTTTTTTTTTTTTAAAAAGCCCTGGGTGTTGTGGAGGCCACTGGATGGTCCAAGGCAGGGTTGTCAACCCCCGGGCCGGGTAGGGGATCGGCACCCCCAGCCCTGAAAAAAAAAACGCAAAAAAAAAAAGAAAAAAAAAAATCGAAAAAAAATAAAATAAAATATCAGGGGGTGCGCACCGACGCCCCGCATCCCCTGGCAATTTCGGGTTTTTCCAGAAACTGGGGGTCGTCCCTCCCCACCCCCGGGGTGGCTGCCGGGGGTCGACGGGGTCGGGTGTCGTGGGTGTGGGGGTTGGGGGTTGGGGGTGCGGAGGTCGAAGGGGGTGCAGGTGTGGAGGGGGTCGGGAGTCGGAGGGGGTGCAGAGGGGGTCGGAGCCTCGGAGGGGGTCGCGCCGCCAGCTCGAATTTTTTTTGGGGCAAGAGCTGCCAAATTTCGATTTCAGCAGGCCTTGCCCCCAAGAGTTTCAAAACGGCAAAGCATAAAATAGGACTCATTCCATTTTTTTTGGGCGGGGAATGGAAACTGACCTTCGCCCTCCCTTCTCAAAATCCCACACAGTGATGGGTTTGCTTCGTGAGAAGGGAGTACACGTCTAAAAACGACCTGCCCCGCGAAGCCTCGCAGAAGGCACATGTTGCATATTCTATGGGACGCCGACCACCGATATATGCCGAAAATTGGCGTTCAGGTCTGCATGTCTGTAGTTATGGGTTAGGATGAAGATGCCCGTAGCTCTCTCATTTTTGTTTTTGTTTTTGTTTTCTTACGAATAGGTACAGTGGGGCCTGCTCCACCACTCACCACATGCACAAAAGAAATAGCATATTGCGGTGTATGGTTCCATGTTGTAGGAGAAGATTCATTCTCATGTTATACATTTGGTGAGTGGTGGAGAGAGGATGAAGATGCCCGTAGCTCTCTCGTTTTTTTTGTTTTTGTTTTGTTACAAATACGTACAGTGGGGCCTACGCCACGACTCACCACATGCACAAAAGACATAGCATATGGCGGTGTATGGTTCCATGTTTCAGCAGAAGATTCATTCTACTAATACTATATACATAAATTTTTGTTTTGTTTTGTTTCAGCAGAATCACGTGGAGACACGAACAGGGTCTAGCTGAATTGGTGACCCATAACTGCCGAGTTACAGCCCTGAACTCGAATCCACAGCATATCACACCATATATTGGTGGTCTGCCTATCTGCGCCAGTCATGATGAGGCCGTCCTTCTCATCTCGGGCAGTGGTCTTCATTGGCTCCCCATGGAGTACAGGAGCCATTTGGGGTGGCTCCATCTATTGCTGGAGTCTTCCCAATGGTGCTAGCAGTGTCTCCACTCATCAGCACCCCTGGCAACCGAAAAAAAAAAAATAGAGACATTCGGGGTACCTTCAGGCGCCCTCGAATTGACGTGAAGGGGCCCCTTTGTTGTCTCTCTTCTCTCTCTCTCTCTCTCTCTCTCTCTCT